AGTACTGTTTTATTTTTATTAGAAAATAGTGAAAAACAAAAAAATCCTCCTAAATCCAAAGGCATAAAATAACATCCTCTAACTCTGGACACTGAAAGATGTTGTATATTTACAGAGCTTTCTGTTCAAAGATATACAACCTGAGAAATTCTAAATTAAATTTCCATAATTATCTATGATCTTCTATTTGTCAACAATCCTAACTCAGTGGTCCTGCATTTAGAAAGTCAAATGAAGTATTATATTACTGTGGATTTCTAATAAAACTATGCATCTCTTTTTGAGAGCAAACTACTCGGATAAAAACAGACCTTCTACTAGGAGCATTTGTTTTTTGATTTTGAAGGAAATCCTGGAAAGTGCACTTGTTGGGCTCACATTTAACTTTACTTGCAAGATTTTTATGAAGTTAAAGATTGCATAAAAATATAATCTGTTCCAGTAAAAGCAATGGCATGTTAGGGAATAATACTCATTACCATTGTTGCTTTTGAATTAAAGAAGTTAAAAGACTTGTATGTCTTTTTAGCATACTGGCTTTTTTATGAAGTAATTAAGGTTTTGTTTTGCAGATTGGCAAGTTTACAACATTTGAAGAATGAAATCCTGACACTAGTCAACAGGGGTTTTATCTTTGAGTTATTAATTGTAGTCATGGTATTGAATTTTTGCAGATTCATTCATAATCTCTGGTCTAGTTAGCCTTCTGTGAGGCCCTTGCCTAGGTTTAGGGTAAAGATTGTGTCCACGAAACAGAGCAAAGGGAATTCGTGACTGAACCCTTGACCTTGTTTGGGTTCGTTGACACTGGGTGCCCTAAACAGTGGTAGATTCCGTAGGTATGAGCATAGTGGAACCAAGACATTTGTTTGTTCACTGGGGAAAATAGGTCAGTAAAAAGCATCCATCTCTTCCACCAAGATAATTCCTATAAGAGCCCTTGTGTATTTTTGGGATTCTTGAAATAATAAACATCTTATTAGAAGAGAAAAATAAAAAAGAAAATCTAGGCCATTCTTAAAATAAAACCTTGAGCTTTATGTTTAAATACCACAGGTATCTTTAAGGAATGTTATTAAGGATTACTATTACTATTAGAAATAGTATTTAACTTATGATCGATCCTACTTAACTACATGATATTGGATATTACCCTTTGAAAAAGAGGAATTGTTGTGTTTTGTGACTTATGTGCTTACCATTTCCATCTGGAAAATACACACAGTTCAATTCGTACCAAGATTTTTGAATTTCTCTCTTACTTTGATATCCCTTAAGTTTGTGTGGTATCATAATAATATCAGTATTGAATTCCTTTTGGACTTCTATCAAGCATTTCTACTTTTCACCTACCAAAGTGTGTGGTGTGTGTGGTTTGTTATATTTTTTATTTTTTCAGTTGTAGTTGTTGTAGAATTTCCTTTCCTTGGTCATGGCTGAAAAATAAATTTCTTTGAACAATTTAAGTAATATCCACTTAGCTATTTTTAAATTAGATATTGGTTCAGGGATTTAGAATATGAATGCATTGTTTTGTTTTTTTTTTTTGCCTTGAAAAGAAACTTAATTTTTTTTGTTTTGGTTTTTGTTGGCACAGATAATCCCCAACTGGATGAACTTAAAGGCTAAAATTTTCCATTACTTTAGCTAGTTCTCATGGAGGAGGAATCTCTAACTTGATTTGGGAAAAGCATAATTTAGAAATTCAAAGAACATGACAAAAAAAGTATGTGTTAATATAAATGAGTAGTACATGTTCTGAGCAATAAAATCCTGCTGTATTATGCATATAGAGTCCTTTTAAATATATGTATTATTTTATTAATGTTTGATGCCTTTGGACCTGTGTTTAGGCAAAATCCAAAAAGAATTTTTGAGATAGACATCAGATTTCCATCTTAAAAAAAATTTTAATTAAAAAAAGTTTCCATGATAGTGTTTTATACATACTCAGTACTAGAGTTAATGGAGTTTTTGCTCGATTGAAAGTGTCCTTAATGCTACCTCAAAATTTTAATATACATAAATATAAACAACATATAACTTCAGTTTATAGCTCATGTGGTCTAATTTGGTTTGGAATCACATTATATTCTGTTAAGCTTAAAATATTTGTGCACTGGCTTTTATTTTCTACCCATGTGAAGAGTTTAATTACAAAATATAGTAAGAACAATGATTTTCTAGTGTTTAGTGATATAACTTCTTCATTTTTTATTGTTACTGGAAAAAAATCTGATTTGATAATTTGTACCTTCAAGTAAATGATGTTGACTGTTTAATATGAGCACATACTTGTTTTTCTGTAGTGTTGTTAGTTTACCAGTAAATGATCTACAAGTTCTTGCCCTTGTGACCAAAGGCGTGCAATTGTAGCACTGCTGAGTGATTAGGATAAGTTGGGATAGGTTATGTTTATAATTTTTCTCCGGAAATTTCATTGGCCTGTGTGGGAATTAACATGTGATTTTTATTTCATTCCCATGCCATCATTCTTAACCAAGCTTGCTGGTCCATTTAAAGCAGACAAAGGGCCTTTAATTCCCTATTTGTTCTACATCTTGGAGTGTGTTGTCTGTTAGAGCCTCTTGATAAACATGCTTGTTGTCAACGTGGTAGAGATTTTTATGGTTAAGTGAGAGGTCTACAAACATTTTTCTTTTCCCCTTTTTACTACTCTCTGAAAGGAAAAGCTACATTTTTTTTAAAACTATATATAACTATGAGAGTTTAGAATCGCCTACTTCTAAGGAAATGCAGTAGTACAATACACGATACGACACACTTAAGGGAAAGAAGAAAAATTGTTGTTATTAAAGATTTAAATGTGCCCCGGGGACCCTCTATTAAGGCTCAGTGTTGTTGCTGTGATCTTGAACATGTAAAAGACAATCTAAATCCTGGAGCAGGGCACATGATAGCTTTTAGCTAAACTGCTCTTAGGAAACAAACAAGCTTTCAAGAACAAAATAACGTAATTATTGAAATTCATTGACATGTGAATTTTTTTTCTTCTTTTATAACTGCTTTTACTGGGTCAGTTTTAATATAATTCTAAGTTGCTTGTTTTAAGTCAAATGGAAAAGAAATCCAATGCAGGCTTACACCCTTAAAAAAAGGTAGTAAATTAGTTAACGTTTATTATTAAGGTTTAAAGAAATGGCTTGTAATTTTGATTTGGTTAATTTAAAAATGTCTGTCTTTGAGTATTGTTTGTGTTTTCAGTGTTTACAGGTGCATCAACATATATTTAATGGGCCTTAAGTGTTAGCTTTTCCTTGTCTTTCATTTTAAACTAGATAATGTAGAAAAACCGATTCAGTATTCTAGGCTAGAGTATTGCATTTGTGTTTACTTGTTTACTGACTCATGATATATGGAAAGCAGAGCTAGTGTTCAAACTTAATGGCATTTCTAGATGATATAGTGGAAATGTAGTAATTTGCTTTGGATTGTTCCTTAGTATCTCACTTTTGCTCCTTATTGAAAACAATAGAATTTAAGTTATCATTCACAAAAATTTTTTAAGACTTATATATACTTAGAGTAAAAGGAGAAATTGAAAAAAGGAGACTATTAAATACAGTTTTAGGCAGCAAGTAGAGCTATAATAGAAAAGTACATTATTTTGGAAAATCAATATGATAAATAACTTATTAGATGTTGTAAGGGGAAAGTAAGGAAGAAAGGAGTAGCACAATATTATTTTAGCAAATTTCTAAGTATCCAAGAGAATTAGAGTTTCTTTTATTCAACCAACTTAAATATAGAAGTTTTGATTTTTTTTATTTAATTTTTTTTGAGGCTCTCACTCTGTTACCCAGTCTATTATTGTTACCAATAATAATAGTTGCATTTTATTGCACATTTGCTGGGAGCCAGACATTGCTTTATGTGCTCTACAGATATCAAACCATTGAGTTTTCATCATTACCCTTTAAGTTTGGTATTATTATATCAATATGAAGAAGCAATGTACTCAGTTGTTAAGAGGCAGGCAGCCATAATCTGTGTCCTGTCTCTGTCACTAAGTAGGTGAGTGACGTTAGGCAAATGATTCAACTCCTTGTGCTCCAGTTTCCCCTTTAATAAAATGGGCTTGGAATAATGATAATTCATAGAATCATCATGAGGAGTAAATGTATATTTTGAATATATGTAATATATTTATTTATTATATGTAAGGAGAAGAAGAATGCCTGGACATACTAAACACTGTAAAAGTGTGATAATATTGTTATTCTCAAATCAAAATTATTTTTCATTTTGTTGATGCTTCTCTGCCTCTTTACTCCATTTCTATTTGAGAGTAGGAATTATGGCAGAGGGAGCTGAAATTGAGTATACTTGCATCAAAGCAGTTTTTAACATATTTTGCTGTTTGCCTAAAAATTGGTTTTCTGTTGATCTTGTTGGAAAAGCTTCTGGCAGCGTGGCTTTCCACAAGTCATATGGACTTTACACGTACACCTTGCTAAGTCTAAACACTAAAATTGTTAAAAATATTTTTTAAGCGAATGGAATGCATTTCAGATATTATGAAAGACAGTTCCAAGTATAATTTTCCCCTTTAAGTTTGTTTTAATGTAGAAACAAACTAAAGTAAACACTTTTATAGTTAACTTTTGAAATGTGTATTTTCTTAAAGTTCTTTTTTCTCATTTTATTAAAGAGGGGAAACTGTAGAAAAGAATATTTGTTTCCAAGAAAAGTGTTAGCTATCTAGGCCCTCTAAATAATGTAATAAAATTCCCAAAGATGGGGAAAAAAAGGAAATTAAGTGAATATTAATTAGGATGATCCGGAATTGCTTATTGTTTATATTTTGTTCCCACTGAAGTGTTCTTAGGGTTACAGTGAATGAGCAGGTTGTAATTTATAGATTTTGTGTAACTTATATCCATGTCTTCCTCAGCCCTAATACATAATAAATTCTAGTAGTGACTTTCAGTTTTGTACATATTTTGGAATAATTTTTTTTCCCACCTCTTTCATTCTAGGCACTAAAGAAACAAGAAGCTAAAGCAGATGAGCATGAGGGGGCAATAAAAAATAAGCTAATACAAACTGAAACTGAGAAGAATCAAGTAAGATTTTAAAAGTTATCTTTCAAAGAATAAAGTGGTTTGGGGCCAATGGTATTTGTTGAGTGCCTTGAAAAGTGTCCCCAGGATCCTTTAGAACACTGTGAATTCTTTATCTTTCTATGTGGAGTCAATTGGTTCAACAGCTCTTCTACTTGCTAGGACTTACTCTTGGAAACAGAGAAGCAAGTTGTTTGCTACCTTGTCATCTATGACCACTCTGCTTTCTGAGAGGTGAATTAAACTTTACCTTTTCTTGTTGGAAACATTTAAAGAACTTGACTTTGTTGCAGGGTTAGAAAAGACCTGTCATTTGGAGACTGAATATTTTGCTTATATTCATTTTCATTATAGTGGACAGATATAGTAAGCAGCCCAGTTCTGAAAGCATTCTCTATTTCTATTCAATTAAATTAAATATCAACGACCTTTGACCTGTGTTCATGTTTATGAACTGTGTGTTCATGTCTATGAGCACAAAGAGCTCAGCACTTTAGAGTTAGAAAGGAATTCAGAGGCCAAACAACTCTTCCTTAATTTGTGAATAAGTAGATTTAAGGATGAGCTCAAAGTAATGGAAGATGAAGTGAAAATTTGCCCTGTTCTTTACTCCGTGTTGCTTTTTTCTACCTACCATTGCCTCTTTTATTTTATTTCACCAACTCATGTAAAGGCAGCTTCCCTGCTGCTTTCAGGGTAAGTGAAGTATGTTAGGTCATCAAATTTGCCCTTTGGGAGTTGTGATGTTGAAATTACACAGGGATTATGACCAATATGGGCTTTGGTTGATTTCAAAGTCATTTTGCTTCAATTATGATTTCTTCACTCTATTTCTCCATAGAGACTAAAGAATAGGTCAGACAGTATTTTATGTGGATTCTGTGATCCCCACATATACTTTACTTTTTTAAAAATATGACATTTGTTTTATGAGCCACATGTATAATTTTAAAAAAATTATATACTGAGATTTAAAGATATATTTTGAAATAATTATAGATTTATAGGATATTGTAAAACAAGATGCACAGAGAGGTCCCATGCACCCAGTTTCCCTCACTGGTAACATTTTGCATAATTGCCATTCAATATCAAAACCAGGAAATTGTTGGTGCAATCTACTTAGTTTATACAGATTTCACCAGCTTTATATATACTCATTTGTGTTTGTGTGTGTGTGTGTGTGTGTGTGTGTGTGTGTGAAGTTCAATCCATTTTTATCTTGTATAGATTCTTGTTACCACTACCACCATCAGGATACAGAACTGTTCCATCACCACAAGGCTCTCTCATGTTCTTTCATAAGCACACCTACCACATGTGCAATTATTAAAGGATTAATATACAGATAGCAGTTGTTCAATTGAAATGATAATTTAGAATAAGTACCACAAATCTAAGCACTTACGAGCGTCTTAATATAAATGTGCGATTTTTATAAAACTACCTTACGGTTACAAAATGCAAATAAGTCTAGCACATATAAGGTCTAAATTTTTAAGAAACTTGTGTTCTATCCTATTACATATTTCAGCTTGAAATCATCTAGGCATGTTAGGAGTTTGTAGAATATTTAGTCACTTAACTGGTCACATTTTTTTTTTTTTTTTGAGATGGAGTCTCACTCTGTTGCCCAGGCTGGAGTGCAGTGCCGCAATCATGGCTCACTGCAAGCTCCACCTCCCGGGTTCACGCCATTTTCCTGCCTCAGCCTCCTGAGTAGCTGGGACTACAGGCGCCCCCCACCATGCCTGGCTAATTTTTTGTATTTTTAGTAGAGGTGGGTTTTCACCATGTTAGCCAGGATGGTCTCGATCTCCTGAACTGGTCACATTTTTTATCGATATTTATCTCATGGCAGTATCATTAAGGAAATTTTAAATGTCTCATTCTGAATTTAGACATTTAAAAATTTAAGGAATGTCTTATGAATATTAGAAATATTAGGAATGTAGGAAATCACCACTTAGATGAAACTTTTGAGTTATTGGGTCCCTGCCGTTTTTATTCTAATTTAGTTAATTTGACACTACATTTTCTAATTTAAAGAAAAAAATTGCCTTAGAATTTAGATTTAAGTGATTTAGAACTGGAAGGGATCTCAGAGACTGTTTAATATAAAATTTTTATTTTAGAGATGACAGAACGGAGGCCTAAGGAGAAGAGACTGGGACTGACTCACAGTTGAGATGAAACGTACTAGATCCTGACTTCCTGAGGCCTGGTCTAGTTCACTTCATGTTATACGATTAACGTTATTTTAATGGAAGTATTGATATATGTTCATAGTGAGAGATTTATTCTTTTATGTTAGCTGTAAATGTCTTCTGAAAACTTTTCCACTTTTCTCCTTTTAAACTGTGCCCGTAATAATTTAGTTATCTTCTATTCCATTGGACATTTTTATTTATCCTTTGTTGAAACTCTAGCTTGAACAGGAATTGGAGCTATCTCGAAAGTTATTGAATCAATCTGAAGGCAGCCGAGAAACACTTTTGCATCAGGTAAGTCTGTGCAAGTTATTATAATATACTTTTACATTAAATCAGGATTGAATAGCTCTATTTAAATGTCTTTGTGAAAGGAAAAAAAAAAAAAAAAACTAGGTCTAGAAAAAAATGTGTTCCTAAGGAATGTATATTAGCACACTAAGCAAAAGATAAAATTCTTTCAGGGAAATTCAGAGAAAGCTAGTACAAACATCAGCCAAAGTCCCCACTGTGTTGGTGTATCTTGCTGATTGCTGCTACAACTTACTACTTATCTCTCTTAGCCTGAGCAGTGTAAAAGTAAGACTGAGTATAAGATAAAATTTTCCCAGGAGCTTAATTTTATTCCAGGAGGTGTTGGGAAGTAAAGGAAGAAGTAAACTACATAAAACAGACCTTTGCATGTTTATGTTACTTTGAATAACATTATTGTCTTTAATTCATGTTTTCAAGATACTGCTTGACCGTTTTAAACCAAAGATAAGGCTTATTTTATTTTATTTTTTTTGAGATGCAGTCTCACTCTGTTGCCAGGCTGGACTGCAGTGGCGCAATCTCGGTTCACCACAACCTCCGCCTCCCGGGCTCAAGTGATTCTCCTGCCTCAGCCTCCCGGTAGCTGGGATTACAGGCATGCGCCACCACACCTGGCTAATGTTTTGTTTTTTTTAGTAGAGACGGGATTTCACCATGTTGGTCAGGATGGTCTCCATCTCCTGACCTCGTGATCCCCTGCCTCGGCCTCCCAAAGTGCTGGGATTATAGGTGTGAGCCATCACACCTGGCCAATAAGGCTTAATTATTAAGTATAACATTTTGCATTCCATCAGCCCATAATGGGAGTTTGGTGCTTCTGATGTTTAAAGTTCAGTAACTTTAAATAACCATCTTACATACATTGAATAAGGGCATATGGGTTTCTAACTGCCTCTCTGTCTGTGTTTAATACAAACTGCAATTACACTTCCTTCTGTTTTGAAGTGTGTGTTATATAACTCACCTTCAGAATATGCTAGGGGTAGGCAAAGATGTCAAGCATTATAGATGTTCAGAAGGAGTATTACATTTTGACAATTGGTGCTGAAAATACAAGATAGCACCTGTTTTATAAAATCTTTGAAAATATTCGCTGACTTTGTTCTGCAGCCAGTGGTCACATGGAATTAATTTTGGCAGAGTTCAAACTTTCCTTTTTAGAAGTTTATATTTGTATTTAATTCCATTCTGATTTGTTTGGAACTCTGACTTATAATCTCCAGTTTCAGTTATGGAAGCAAGATATTTCTTTGTTTAGGTTGTCATTGTGATTTTAGCTGAATCTTTTTGTCACTGTTAACTTGTTTAATGGTCATTTGGAAGTACCTGCTATGGGCTAGGTAATTTGGCAGTCTAAGGATAGAAAGATAAATCAGTTTCTGACTTCAAGGAGTTTAGAGTTTATTCAACAGCATCTATTACATACTTATTTTGAGCATTATTTTAATATCAAAATATGCCAAATCATGATCATTTATCTTGAATTTGACAACCAATAGACCATGTTCACATGAAAGCAAATGGGTGAAAATAGAAAAATATAAAAACGTATAATACTTAATTGAAGTTGATTTGGGTTCATAGTAATGGAGTAGACTGAGGACAAAATAAGTGATTAAAAAAAAATCCGATCACATTCTTTGCCTCAATGGACACAGAGAAGGAAAAACCATGCATTTATTCTTTGTGGAATAAATGAGAGGAATGAGGAAATAGAACAGGAAACCGTTTCACTATGCTTGGAAGGAGATTAACCTGGATTCAACTTGCGTTTACAATAGCCCATTTGAAGTAGGTCTTTTTCTGATTGTGAAAACTGATGTTTGATTTTTGACGATGTGTTTAGGTAGAAGAACTGCGTGCACAACTTACGAAAGCAGAGGGTGATCGAAAGGGTTTACAGCATCAAGTGTCTCAGATTTCCAAGCAACAGTCAAACTATCAGGATGAACAAGGGGAGGACTGGAGGTTTAGGAGAGGTAAAATGTAGATTTGTACCTAATAATGTGATAATTTGTGTGGGGGCTTTTTGGTCTTTCTTAGAAAATACTTTTCATCCTCAGAAATTGCATTCCTTTGTGATGCTCATGTCATACTATTTCTTGATCTATTAAAAAGTTTCTGATAAGTTGATAATAATTTAGCATCATCTCATTTTAATATCTTCCCTGCTTGGTTCAAACCCATTTGGGTTATTAGACCTGCTTAACCATGGATGGTTTTCTCTTAGAAAGAGCCTGCAAAAGCAGTAGTTTTTCCAGCCTCCTATTCCCATGCCCAAATATATGTGCATATGTGTATGTATGTACCAGTCTTTGTACTTACACTGTAAATGTTGCTCTGTCTTTCACATTCTCTTATCTCAGTTTTCAATATAGGTGAAATTAAAGTTAATACCCTATCTTTTTTGTGATCTGGAGTTGGTGACAAAAATTAATCACAACTCAGTCGTAGCCATGAGCTGTATCACTGGCTTTTAATGTGGATTAGGAACACTTTGTGTTTGAAAAATATTAGGATACCTTCTCAGTGGAGGTGTTAATTTAAATTATGGAATTTAATGACTGGATGTATGTTCAGGCTTAATAATGATAATATTGAGATTATATAATGGTTTCTATTAGGTGAGTTCACATTGCTCAGCTTCTATATTATTCCAATAATGAGGCTTCCTACTCAAATGCTCAAAGTATTGGTGAAATTTTTTTAAGTGTTTGATGTAATATTAAATCCAGGGAAGGTAAATATTGCCCCAGGCTTTCCAAATACATCTCCATATGTTGCCTAAGCTAGAATTTCCACATTGCCAGAAAATCATCAATGGATGACAAATTTTGGCAAACCTATTCTAATATACATACATATATATATATATATATATTTTTTTTTTTGAAACAGAGTCTCACTCTGTTGCCCAGGCTGGAGTGCAGTGGTGCAATCTTGGCTCATTGCAACCTCCACCTCCTGAGTTCACACCATTCTCCTACCTCAGCCTTCCAAGTAACTGGGACTACAGGCGCCCACCACCTCGCCCAACTAATTTTTTTTTTTTTTTTTT